AGAGAGAGAGAGAGAGAGAGAGAGAGAGAGAGAGAGAGAGAGAGAGAGAGAAACACGAACGAGAGCAAGAGTGCAAGTTAATTTTACATCATGTGAAACTGGGAGGAGCACGGAAAATCACTGACAAGTTTGTAAGTAGCTAAGTAAACACCGCTGCAGCTGGCATTGTTTTGCAAAATATTGGCCATCTACAAACAACAGTGGGTGCAGCCCGGGATGTCCCAAAGCGATGTTTACGTGAAGCTACCGAAAGGGCAAAGCGGTGCAGGTAAAAACTTTTGCTCCAGACTACTGTATAAAGGGAAATACAGTTCGCACTTAAAACTTTCTGATTTTCTAAGCAAACAGACGGAAAGGGAAGAAGAAGAACAGAACCCACATTTCTAAAGAAAACTCTCAAGTTTTAAAAGAAAAAAAACCGCAAGTGCTTGAAAAACGCTGACTTGCACAGCGCCAATACATAAAGTCAAGGACTATACGCTCAAGTAAAGGTAGTTCACATTATTATTCAAATACTTCACAAGGAATAAGCTTATATTTACCGGCGACAGAAACAACCCTAACCTAAATAATATACTCACAGTTCCTCGGAAGTTCTCGGTACAGGAGACAGCCTTGTCGCCCAGACTGATGACACAGCAGGACACGGTTTACACGAATCAAAACACCTTTGACATCTTTTTGTTTCTTTGCACAAGTTCACCTTTAACATTTTCTTGTTTCTTTGCACACGGTTGAACAGAGGAATGAATGTTTTCACAACTGCTTTTTTTATCAGAGGGAATAGCTTGCCTGGGGGACAGACCTCCGCATAAGTCCTGAGAAAATGTGGGTCACTTTTTGACGTCTTTGACGAGGACAGACAGAGATATCTCAACACAGTGTATGCAATTTGATGTCTGAACAGGATTTTTTTTTAAACCCAGAAAACCCCCCCAGATCAAATCAATGTATTTGAAAAGTGAAGATTAAGCAAAACCACAAATGGACTTGACGACCGACAACGGAAAATGATTGTCCGGATTCGGACTCACTGGCTAGCTTGCGAGTTTGTGTTATCAGAGAAATGAAATTCCAAATCTCCCTCTTCCCCTCTTTATGGAACTCGGCGTTGAAAGCACGTGCCCCGGCGTTCGGGACTTGTGCCAGGCAATTTATAATTGGCCGGGTAGTGGGGTAGACGGGTTGCCGGCCCGCACACACGCTCTGCGCTCACGGGGAAGTGGGGGTAGGGTGGGGTGAGGGGGAGAGTGGAGGTGTGGGGGCTTGGGAAGGTCGGGTGGGGAGTCAGAGAGCGCCTGTCGAGACGGAGGCGGTGGTGCAGTGGTCGCGGTAACGCTGCTGGTGGTAGGGGTGGTGATGGTGGTGGTGAATGTTATGAGGTCGAATGGGAGTGGCGCAAGAACAAGAACAAAAACAAGAACAAGACCAAGAATCATCATCTTCAATAATAACAGCAACAACAACAACAACAAAAACAAAACAACAGCAATAACAACAACAAAAACAACAACAACTACTACAACAACGACAACGGCAACTACACTATAACCTCCACCGCCACCAACAAAAATAACAACTAGACAATTCAATTCTTGATGTGATGAAGCATAAAGGTGTTGGTTGAGGAGGAGGAGCCGGGATAAGAGGATGAGAAGGAAGAGGAGGAGGAGGAGGAGGAGGAGGAGGAGGAGGAGGAGGGGTGGGATGATAATAAGGAGGATAGGATAAAATAATGTAACCGTTAAGGATGTTGTGCTGCTCTTGACGCCAAGTGTCAACAGAGGATGTTACGATACAATCATCAAGCTTCTTTTCTCCTACAAATATATTATTATTTTCCCTTGGACCATTTACTTTTCCAATCTTTCTTTAACCCCCCCCCTCCTCCACAGGATCTCTCTCGCTTACTCTTCGGCAAATTTCACTAATGATAATCATAATTATACGTTCGTCCTGAAGTAAGCTGTTAGACAGTAATAAGTGTTCACTTTCCCTTAATCCTTGCAAAAGCAACAACAAGAAAATAAAAATAATATAATTTTTTTTTTTTTTAATGTAATTCCCAAAACAGCACCCCAGAGTGATGGTAACGGTCTAGACGGTGGGTGCTGCGGTAGTTGCTGCTGCTGGGCCGTGGTCAGTTCAGGAGCGGAGAACACTGTCCTCTCATCTCAACCCGAGCGTCGGAGGGGAGTGCGCGACAGAACAAGCAAAATGAACGATAGGACTCAGTGACTAAGCGAAGGTCATTCCAGTATGCCCTGCTAATACGGGCTACATACAACAAACTAGTATCAACAAGCTCTGAATCTTTGCAGCATCTAAAAAAAACGAAGCTCGTTTTCAACAATGAAATGGAGCTTACACAATATCTTTAAATCAGTCGGTAAATCGTCTTGTAATGTTTACATCGACTCACAATTACGCTCTGAAGACACTTGTCTTTGCAAATGAAATGATACGATTCCCAGGTTGTTAGGCTCATAGTTTTCATTAAGCCTGCAGAATCAAGCCATCTCATTGAGTTAAAAGTAAGCATGTGTAATGGGTTTTAACGCGCATTACAACACCATTAAAATGCAGGACCTCCAGATGTAACGTCAACCCCTGATAGGTAAGAAGCAACTCAGTTAAGAGCCTTGAAAAATCCTCAAAACAATCCAGTTTCAAGATTGCTCAGTCTGGGATTCAAACCAGGGCCATCTGGGCTAACTCATATGTTTCAATTTAGGATCTTAAAAAGATATATTTCAGAGATCGTTGCTAATAGCATTAACCATATTAATTTGATGTGTTCATCAAAAACACCGGTTGCATCGAGGCAGGCGTTTTACTTTTAATTAACATTATCTTGAAAAATGCACATTATGGAGCAAAAAGATTTGGTCTTGGCAACTCGTATATTTGCTTACTAGGGTTACAGTGTTTTCCTCTGCTTTGCCCTATAGCAGATGAGAACATCTATCTTTGAGGTTTCCTATTGCAAAAATACGTATATTTCTTGAACAAAATTATAACCAAAGAAATGTTCCAAATTCAATATTCAGAACTTCATGTAGCAACCTTACGTGACAGTAAGATAAAAAAATAAACCTTGTCAAAGAAGAGCCTCTGAGTTGTAAAAATATAAATAAAATGCAGTACAAAAAGATGTCAAACTCATGCAGTGTATTTATAGAACTCTGAATCAAAAGTAACTATGATCAGCTAAATGGATTGAACTAGATAAAACAAAGTGTCAACACTCTGACATGACAAACACGATAAATCTATTAACAGGGGGTGTCCACTAGCGAGAGCAGATCAGGTCGAGTCTTTTTCTGTTGGTTTCAGTTCACACTAGATCTACAACCTCGCCGCGATTGTACCCGACGACCTGGAAGTTAAAGAAGAGAAACCTTTAAACTCAATGGCTTATAGGTCTCCTCTCTCCAGCTCCCTGTTGCAGTGCTGCGGCAGCCTAGAATCCCATAAACATTGTTACAATAGTTACATCAATAACTTTCTATTATCAAAGATCGTTCATAAGAAAATAGGTCTAGTTCACAAGGCCAAAAAAGAGTCTGCGGAAGTCCGCGAATTGGTTCAGATGGTGCAGCAGTCTTTGTTTTGAAGCTCTCTTTCGTTTCTCCAGAAGAATAAGAATAGCACAATTTGTTAGTTTCATTTGTATTGTTTTTCACACAAGAAGGATAACTCTGTTCGCAATATCTGCACCTTTTCGAAAAGGGCGCCACCGGATTTTGAGTGTCAACATGGACACGTGACTCAGCCTTGTTGTGATTGGCTGCAAACCACACGTTCGCGCGATTCGCAGGCCTGAAAACAAACGCGTTTGTTTTTGTAGGTCACCGATCGAGTCGATCGGTTTTTTCCATGATGACTGCTTTGCGCTCTCAATTTGGCTAGCCCCGACTACCAGATTGACCCGACCCGATCTGAGCCGATCGTGTATGTGGGCACCCCCTATAACACGAAGCCAGATCTAACAAAAGTTTCCTCAGTTTACACTCCCCCCCTTTTTGTGCTCACCCATGGATCCCCCCCCCTAACTCAACGTGCCCCCACCCCCACCCGGAACCCCCCCCCCCCCCACACACACACACATACACACACGAAGGCAAGATCATTAACTCTCTCTCTCTCTCTCTCTCTCTCTCTCTCTCTCTCTCTCTCTCTCTCTCTCTCTCTCTCTCTCTCTCGCTCTCGCTCTGAATATATATAATTAAATGTATATATATACATATATATATATATATATATATATATATATATATATAATATTATATACATATATTATAATAATATACATAACAATATGTATCTATAAAATATTAATATCTTTCCCAAGACTACTACCCATTGACGAGTACATAAAAATTGGCATCTTAGGCTGTGGTAGTCTTGCAAGTATAGAGATACAGTAATAGAGTGACGCAAAGAGCAAATTGTCAAGTGGTCATTTGTGCACTTAACTGCTTTAGACAGGTGTTCGTTATAGCAGATTCGATGTACGCAGTCGAAATAGTCCAAGACAGTCTTCAATAGTCCAGGAGAAAACTGGTTGTCTCAGACAGGTGGATGCTTTGATAGGGTTATTATGATGTGCAAAACACACATGTGGGCAGATGGGAAATCGTCGGTCGTTCTTACAGGTGATTGTCTTAGACAGGTAGCCGTTAGACCAGATTTGATGTGTTACAGATATTAATGGGTCACAACGAAACAATCTTCCCCCCCCCCCTCCCCCGGACACCAATAAATTACTCCCACCTCCTAGCATTGTGAATATATGAGCATGCATAACGGTTATAATCATGGAATAATAAAAGACCAAATGCGGCCATTTCATGACAATAGCTACACAAAGCGAATATTGCTGCCTTTCTGGTCAATCAAATTCTCTAATTTTCCGAGCATGTTTTATGTGTGTTCTCATCCCTTTCCACGAGCACACGATGAACAATGTTGGGTAGCTCTCTTGGTATTCCCACAGA